AACAGAGGGATAGAATGAAGATCACGCAAGGTGTCAGTACCGCTCCATAAAGCCTTAGTAAGGTCACACCTGGAATCCTGCATCCAGTTTTGGTTACCACACTATATAAAAAATGTTGAGACTCTAGAAAGAGTGCAGAGAAGAGCGACAAAGATGATCGGGGGACTGGAGGCTAAAACATATAAGGAACGATTGCTGGAATTGTGTATGTCTAGTTTAATGAAGAGAAGGACGAGAGGGGACATGATAGCAGTGTTCCAATATCTCAGGGGCTGCCCCAAAGAAGAGGGAGTCAAGCTATTCTCCAAAGCGCCTGAAGGCAAAACAAGAAGCAACAGATGGGAACCGATCAAGGAGAGAAGCAACCTGGAAATAAGGAATATATTTTTCTGACAGTGAGAACAATCAACCAACAGAAGAGCTTGCCCTCAGAGGTGGTGGATGCTTCATCACTGGAGGCTTGTCAGAAATGGTATAAGGTCTCCTGCTTGAGCAGGGGGTTGGACTAGATGACCTACAAGGTCCCTTCCAACTCAGTTATTCTGTTAGTATTGACAGTGAGAACAATTCATCAGTGGAACGGCTTGCCTTCAGAAGTTGTGGGTGCTCCATCACTGGAGGCTTTGAAGAAGAGATTGGACAGCCATTTGTCTGAAATGGTACTATAGGGTTTCCTGGCTGAGCAGGGGGTTGGACTAGAAGACCTTCCAAGGTCCCTTCCAACTCCGTTATTCTGTTAAACCCCGATCTATTGCATTCCACATTTGGCGAGTTAAAATTTCCAGAAGCCTCATTCACTACATCCAATAATGAGGTATGCTAGTAACTGTAATTCAGCAGTAATGGCCTGCTTCTGATTTACACCAGATCTATTTTACTTTATTGCTGTTACAAACAATCATCGACACAACCATCACATTAATTTTAAAGGCCTTATAAAGAAGCTCTATATTATTGGGGGAGGGAAGCATTTAAGATTTGGGCTTTTTCCAGGTTTTCTAATTTTTCTGCCAACTCCCTCTTCTAGATCACGTCTCATTTATACTGTATGTCCTTGGACATAAATGCTGGATTGTTAACTAGAGTTTAACTATCCTCCATCAATTGGGATTCATTATCACCAGAGCTACTTATAAACTGAGTTAAGACTCTTAACCCTAAACTGCTTTAACAGCATGCAGATGTTATATTCATAGATCACACTACACCCAGACAAAGAAAATGGATTACAGATAGACCTTGAGATACAATAATCCATTTAGTGACGGTTTGAAGTTACAATGGCACTGAAAAAAGTGACTTAGCACTGTTTTTCACACATGGTCATGTGATCAAAATTCAGAGGCTTGGCAACTGGCATGTACTTACGACGGTTGCAGTGTCCCCCGGGGTCACGTGATCCCCTTTTGCGGCCTTCTGACAAGCGAAGTCAATGGGGAAAGCCAGATTTATTTTATCACCGTGCTACTCACTTAACAACTGCAGTGATTCGCTTAATAACCGGGGCAAGAAAGATCACAAAATGGGGCAAAACTCATTGAAAAGACTGTCTTGTTTAGCAACATAAATTTTGGGGCTCAATTGTGGCCGTTAAGTCGAGGACTACCTGTATGGCTTAACAGCTTGGATCATACATCATGATCACACAACCTGCTGGATTCACACAACGTTCAGATTTAAAATTTAGTTCTCCTTTGAGGCAAGCCCAACTTTGGGTGAATGTGTTGTAGTACAAAGAATTGCCACGGTTCTTCTCTTGGGTTCTTCTAACTTCCCAGCCCAGACTGTAGCTAGAGGATTTCCTGGTGGTCTCCTATCCCTACAGAACCAGTTCCAAGTGGTTGGTTTTTTTTTAGGCTTTTCAAGATCAGCCAAAGTCAGCTCGGTGCTGCCATCTGTTGGTGCAAACTGCAAGCAGAAAAATAGGCTGTTCTTGGTGCCATTATCCTGTTTACTGACTTCCCTCCTTCTCTTACACTTGACATATAGGTAGTCCTTGACTTATGACCGGCTGCTTAGCGACCCCTTGAAGTTGGGAAAAGAGAGTTAGGACCCAGTTCCGACGTTCTGATGGCTACCTCCTTGATTGGGTGTCCACACTTTGGCCACATTTAGACCTTTTCATGTGATCGTACAGGTAGTCCTCAACAAACCACAGTTCACTTAGTGACCGTTCAAAAGTTACAACATCCCTGAAAAAAGTGACTTATGACCATTTTTCACACTTACGACCGTAGCAGCATCCCCATGGGTCACGGGATCAAAGTTCAGAGGCCTGGCCACCGACTCATACTTACGACGGTTCCAGTGTCCCGGGGTCATGTGATCCCCTTTTGCGACCTTCTGGCACGCAAAGTCAATGGGGGAGGGGGGGAGAGAAGCCAGTCTTGCTTAACAACCGTGTTGCTAATTTAACGACGGCAGTGATTCGCTTAACGACTGTGGCGAGAAAGGTCTAAAATGCGGCAAAACTCACTTAACGTCTCACTTAGCAACATACATTTTGGGCTCAGTTGTGGTCGTAAGTTGAGGACTACCTGTACAGGTAGCTTCCTGTCATCCAGTGCACCTTCCGTAGCCAAACCAGCTTCCTATCCACCAAGCCAAGGTCAAAATCTATTAAATTTCAAGCGGAGCCAAAATTGCTCCCTTTAGCCATCCTAGTTGCTCTTCTCTGCACCCAGCCGGCTTTCATGCCTAAGGCGGCACTAGAACTCACAGTCACCTAGTGATCAGCCCAAAGTCACCCAGCTGGCTTTCATGCCTAAGCGGCACTAGAACTCACAGTCGCCGGATGATCGGCCCAAAGTCACCCAGCCGGCTTTCATACCTTAGGCGGCACTAGAACTCACAGTCACCTGGTGATTGACCCAAAGTCACCGAGCCGGCTTTCATGCCTTAGGCGGCACTAGAACTCACAGTTGCTGGATGATCGGCCCAAAGTCACCTAGCCGGCTTTCATGCCTAAGGCAGCACTAGAACTCACAGTCACCTGGTGATTGGCCCAAAGTCACACAGCCGGCTTTCATGCTTAAGGCAGCACTAGAACTCACCGTCTCCTGGTGATTGGCTCAAAGTCACCCAGCTGGCTTTCATGGCTAAGGTGGGACTAGAACTCACCATCTCCTGGTGATTGGCTCAAAGTCACCCAGCTGGCTTTCATGCCTAAGGCAGGACTAGAACTCATGATCTCCTGATAATTGGCCCCAAATCTCCCAACCGGCTTTCATGCCTAAGGCGGCACTAGAACTGACAGTTGCCTGGTGATTGGCCCAAAGTCACCCAGCCAGCTTTCAGGCCTAAGATGGGACTAGAACTCACAGTCGCCTGGTGATTGGCCCAAAGTCACCAGCTGGCTTTCATGCATAAGGCAGGATTAGGGCTCACGGTCTCTGGTATACTAGTTTCTAGCATATATTTTTTTGAAACTTACGAAATCAGAATATAATTTGAAATGTTAATTAGGGAAATCCCAACGCTCAAGTGGAACGTTGAAAAACAAAACCAAACAGAACATTGGAACAAGACGGTGGGAAATCAGCTTTGTGGCTAAGAAAGCTACGCAGTCTTGTTTCTGAAGTCCCTAAGAATCAAACGCATCTTGAAGGAGCTTTTTAATCTTCTTATCTTGATTAAAACTGAGTCGAAAGCTCAGATGCTTTTACAAGTTCAAAGCGGCGGCGCTTAAAAATTTTGTCGCTGCTTTAATCTTCACTTCATCCAGTCACAAACTAATTAAAAGTTTTTGCTTTTCCAGGTGCTGAGATCTGAGCTGTGCTGAAATTATCTTAGCTGGTAGATGAAGACCCAGGAAAGTTTGAATATATTCAATCCAGAGAGTCCTTGACTTAACAATCACAGGCCAGAATTTTAGTTGCTAAAGAGAAGCAACCTAGAACTAAGGAGAAATTTCCTGACAGTTAGAACAATTAATCAGTGGAACAACCTGCCTCCAGAAGCTGTGAACGCTCCAACACTGGAAGTTTTTAAGAAGAGACTGGACAGCCATTTGTCTGAAATGGTATAGGGTTTCCTGCCTGAGCAGGGGGTTGGACTAGAAGACCTCCAAGGTCCCTTCCAACTTTACTATTATTATTATAAACAAAGCGCTTGTTAAGAAAGTCATGCCTGATTTTTTACAACCTTTTTGTCACAGTTGGTAAGGGATTCATTGCAGTTGTTAACTGAATCACAAGGTCGTTAAGCAAATCCAGATTCCCCCATTGGCTCTGCTTGTCAAAAGCTGGCTGGCAAGGTTGCAAATGGCGATCCCATGATCCCGAGAGGCTTCAAACACCGTAAATACACGCCCGTTGCCAAGCTCCTTGAATTGTGATCACATGGTGGCGGGGATGCTGCTATGGTCATAAGTGTGAGGACTTGTTTTTTTCAGCCCCACTGTAGCTTCAAACGGCCACTAAATGAATAGTTGTAACTCGAGGATGACCTGTATAATTGGACTACATCCAGGCAGGTGTCAGAAGGTTAAAAAGGCCCTGCGTTTTTTAAAAACTGATTTGAAGAAAATGGAATATATACACCAGGGGTCTTCAAACTTGGCCCTTTTGTGACTTGTGGACTTCAACTCCCAGAATTCCTCAGCCAGGCACGTTGGCTGAGGAATTCTGGGAGTTGAAGTCCACACCTCTTAAAATGGCCGAGGCTGAGAAACACCGGTTTAGCTCTTTCTGAGTTAGCATTATTTCCCCCTCACATTATGTCAGGGGTCTTCAGACTTGGGCCTTTTATGACTTGTGGACTTCAACTCCCAGAATTCCTTAGCCAGGCACACTAGCTGAGGAATTCTGGGAGTTGAAGTCCACAAGTCATACAAGGGCCAAGTTTGAAGACCCCTGATATACACAAATCCATATTTCTGCAGATGGGGCAGCCTTCAAATCTGAGTTTTTTACCCTCCCTTTAGTGGAAAACTGAGAGGGGGAAAAGGAAAAATAGGGGGAAAAAAAGAGGCAGAAAAAAACCGAAGTCTCTTATTTTTTTTCCCTTTAAATGTTGCACAGAGTCATTTATGCAGGCCCTAAATTTACAACAGAAGGAAAACAGAAGCTGGGACCAAGAGTTATAAAACGCACGAGTGAGGAAATCGCGGGAACGGAATGACATCCTTAATATTCTGTACTCCCAGGATACATTGCAGGTACCGCTCGAACCCCATTCCGAATCCCCCATGGGGGGTCGATCCAAATTGGCGCAGCTCTACGTACCTGTGCAGCAAAGAAATGAGATAATTTAGCCTTGGATATATTTCCCAATCAGTTTAATCACTTATCTGCAATCAGAGCTTCCTGTTTACTATAGTGCTGCTGCAGCACCCGACATTTTTTTTAAAACTCTCTTTAAAAAAAACAAGTTAACAAAATTTTAAATTCCCCCCCCCCAAAAAAAACAAAACCCAACCCTAAGAAAAACTTGAAGGGAGACAAATTAAAAGAGGGGTCTTCAAACTTGGCCCTTTTATGACAGCACGATGGCTGAGGAATTCTGGGAGTTGAAGTCCACCACAAGTCACAAAAGGGCCAAGTTTGAAGACCCCTGAATTAAAAACACCAACTCAGGAAAAAATAAAATAAAAATAAATCTGCAATACGTTATATTTTATACTTAGCAACAGTCGCCGATTTACTAATGAATACGTTCCTCTAATTCAGTGTTTCTCAACCTTGCAACTTCAAGATGGGTGGACTTCAACTCCCAGAATTCCCCAGCCAGCAAGGGAATTCTGGGAGTTGTAGTCCACCCACCTTTAAGCTGCCACGCTTGAAAAACACTGCTCTATAATGTGATCGGTAAAGGTATTGCCGTATACCACAAAACCTCCACCACAGTCATACGTATTGCTGTAACTTTTGATTTGTAGGAAATATGTGGCAAAACAAGGTAGATCACCCATTTCCAACATCTTGATATCTGGAATATCACATTTCCAATTTCTCAGAATGATTTTCTATTTATATATTCATAAGATTTTTATCCTGCCTTTATTTATTTATTTGTTTTGATAAATAACTCAAGGAAGCAAACATATATAGTATTCCTTCTTCCAATTTTTCTCACAACAACAATCCTGTGAGGTGGCTTGGGCTCAGAGAGAGGGGCTGACACAAAGTCACCCATCTGGCTTTCAGGCCTGAGGCGGGACTAGAACTCACGGTCTCCTGGTGATTGGCCTCAAAGTCACCCAGCCAGATTTCATACCTGAGGCAGGACTAGAATTCACTGTCTCCTGGTGATTGATCTAAAGTCACCCAGCTGGCTTTCATGCCTGAGGCAGGACTAGAATTCACTGTCTCCTAGCGATTGATCTAAAATCACCCAGCTAGCTTTCATGCCTGAGGCAGGACTAGAATTCACTGTCTCCTGGTAATTGGCCTCAAGTCACCCAGGTGGCTTTCAGGCCTGAGGCAGCACTAGAACTCACTGTCTCCTGGTAATTGGCCTCAAGTCACTCAGCTGGTTTCAGGCCTGTGACAGCACTAGAACTCACTGTCTCCTGGTAATTGGCCTCAAGTCACTCAGCTGGTTTCAGGCCTGAGGCAGCACTAGAACTCACTGTCTCCTGGTAATTGGCCTCAAGTCACCATCTGGCTTTCAGGCCTGTGACAGCACTAGAACTCACTGTCTCCTGGTAATTGGCCTCAAGTCACTCAGCTGGTTTCAGGCCTGAGGCAGAACTAGAACTCACTGTCTCCTAGTGGTTGGCCTCAAGTCACCCATCTGGCTTTCAGGCCTGAGAAAGGACTAGAACTCACTGCCTCCTAGGGATTGGCCTCAAGTCACCCATCTGGCTTTCATGCCTGAGAAAGGACTAGAACTCACTGTCTCCTAGGGATTGGCCTCAAGTCACCCATCTGGCTTTCATGCCTGAGGCAGCACTAGAACTCACTGTCTCCTGGTGATTGGTCTCAAGTCATCCGGCCGGCTTTCAGGCTTGAGAAAGGACTAAAACTCACTGTCTCCTGGTGATTGGCCCAAAGTCACCCAGCTGACTTTCAGGCTTGAGAAAGGACTAGAACTCACTGTCTCCTGGTGATTGGCCCAAAGTCACCCAGCTAGCTTTCACGTTTAAAGGGTGACTAGAACTCACTGTCTCCCGATTTCTAGTCCAGCACCCTAGCCACTACTCCAAGGTGGATCTCTTTACAAAAAAGGGGGAAATAAATAGATAAATTATTGAAAACCACAGCCAGGTTACAGTGGTCTCTCTGTGGTTATGTTTCTTTCTAACCCCACAATTATTTATCTGGAGTTTTGCTCCTTTGAGATATTCTCTGCTTCTCGAAAATTTAAGAATCACCGGCCGAGGAGTATCTGAGAGGCCTTCAGTGTGGTTTTTGCTTTTGCTGATTTTTGTAAATTTGGAAAGAAAGGAGGAAATGATGTCATGGAGCAGAACTGGGGGAGGGAGAGAGAAATAAAGGATAGGGGGGAAAAAGGGGAACTGTGACAAATGTAAAAATATCTTTATTTGGTGTCTGTCGCCGTCTGACTTGTTTTTATGCCTCCAGTGGAAACTCAGATGGTGTTTTCAAGTTTTACCTTCAAGAGGACTTGAAACTTTTTGCACTCAAAGGTTAACAAGTACAGATAGTCCCCGGCTTACGACCATAGCTGAGCACAAAATTTCCACTGCTAAGCAAGCCACTTGTTAAGTGAATTTTACCCCCGTTTTGCGACCTTTTTTTGCCACAGTTGTTAAGCCAGTCCCTGCAGTTGTTAAATTAGTAACACGGACGTTAAGTGAACCTGGCTTTCCCCATTGGCTTTGCTTGTCAGAAGGTTGCAAAAGGGGATCACGTGGCCCCGGGACGCTGTGACCGTCATAAATATGAACCAGTTGCCAAGCATCCAAATTTTGACCACGTGGTTGTTAAGTGTGAAAACCGGTCATAAGTCACTTTTTTCAGTGCCGTTGTAAAGTCGAGGACTACCTCCAATGCGCTAAGGCAGGGATAGGCAACCTTGGCTCTTTTATGATTCGTGGACTTCAATTCCCAGAATTCCTGAGCCAGCATGAGGGAACTATGGCCCCTTCATGACTTGGGGACTTCAACTCCCAGAATTCCTGAGCCAGCATGGGGGAACTATGGCCCCTTCATGACTTGGGGACTTCAACTCCCAGAATTCCTGAGCCAACATGGCTCAGCTTGGAAACCTCTCCCTTTCCCCTCAGCATGGCTGGCTCAGGAATTCTGGGAGTTGAAGTCCACGAGTTATAAAAGATCCAAGGTTGCCTACCTCTGCGCTAAGGGCTACTTACGACCCAGATTCAAAATTCCAACAGGCAGCCCCCCTGACCCCAAGCTTATGGCAACAGGCCTACCTTTACAGCTGTTTGACCACAATTTATGTTTTTGCCAGAAATCAGCGTTTACTTCCATTTTCCAGCAAAAATACCCTTTGTAGACAATGTATTTGCCTAATGACTACGGCGTTCACTTTATAACAGCCGCATTCACTGCTGCAAAAAAGGTTGCAAAATCAGGCACAGCCATGTGGTGATCCACTTAATGGCTGTTATGACTAATTCCTGTCTAATTATGGTCGTAAGTCCAAGGACTAGTAGTACAGTGCTGGTCCCTTGGTTAATTAAAAAAAAAAAGAGGGACTTTCCTGCATCCCAACTGGTGGCACATTGTCACATTTATTACAAAGAGTCATCACTAACATAATAAAGGTTAGTTTCTGGTTGAATTGAGAATTTATTTGCTTTCTCTCAGAAGATTTCCAAAGGCCAGTGAAAGAAATGAATAATATCTAGGAAATATATCTTACCATTGATAGGTGTCTTCAAGCTTCAACCTGCAGAAACAACAAAAGAATATTTTCTCAGCCAGAGGAAAGAATGCTAGGAAGTTGGCAAAAATATCAGGTTTGCATGCTGCCCAGAGCTGAACGAGGAGATGGCATATAAATAATATTATAATTAAATGAATATCAGCGTTGACGTTTTGTTGCCTTTTAAAGATGTCCAACTGATTGCAGCTAGGGTCATCTCTAGCCAGGATGAAAAATGGGCTTAAGGTGCCACAGAATATGGCTCCACTTTAAACACAAAGACTCTGAAAGAATTGAAAAGCCCCCTTTTTTTGTGTGTGTTCAGACATTAAGCGAGTTTAAAAAGAGAGCAAATTTACGGAAAAAAAGGTGATAAATTTTCTCAGGCCTGCAATCTGTGAATTTTGCTCCCAGCAGATTTGATGACAAATTGGTGAAGGATAACAAGGAAGAACATAATCACGAGGGTTATGAATGAAGCTGACTCAAAGCCGAATCCAGGAGTCTGTCTTTGAAAAATGGAAGGAATGATGGACACAGATCACAGAATCAAACGTGGAACCAGGAAATTGGAAGGATCTTCAAGGAGCGCAGAGGATATAATAATAATAATAATAATAATAATAATAATAATAATAATAATAATAATAATAATAATAATAATAATAATAATAATAATAATGATAAAGTTGGAAGGGACCTTGGAGGTCATCTAGTTCAACCCCCTGCTCAGGCAGGAAACCCTATACCATTTCAGACAAATGGCTGTCCAGTTTCTTCTTAAAAACTTCCAGTGTTGGAGCATTCACCGCTTCTGGAGGCAGGTTGTTCCACTGGTTAATTGTTCTCACTGTCAGGAAGTTTCTCCTTAGTTCTAGGTTGCTTCTCTCTTTGGTTAGTTTCCACCCGTTGCTTCTTGTCCTGCCTTCAGGCGCCTTGGAGAATAGCTTGACTCCCTCTTCTTTGGGGCAGCCCCTGAGATATTGGAACGCTGCTATCATGTCCCCCCTCGTCCTTCTCTTCGTTAAACCTAAACTTTCTTATGTAAGAAAAACCCAATGAAACCATCTATCGTAGGGGTCCCCAACCCCTGGGCCGTGGCCTGGTCAGAACAGGGCCGCAAAAAGCATTGGGCAAGTGTGCATGCACGCACAGTTCCACTCCTGCAGGCATTGGACACTTGTGTGTGCTCACAGCTCCTCTCCACTTGCACAAATGGTGCTTGGCGTGCACATATGGGCACTTGCCACTTGCACAAAACCATACTCTCTCTTCTCCCCCCCCCTTTGCCGGGCCGTCAAGCTGGAAAAGTTGGGGACTGCTGATCTATCGCACCCCTTGCCTTATCGAAATGCTTTTTCTCTCTCCTTCAGTTCAATCATGTACGATCATCAGAGACTGCCTGGAGAAGTCCCTTCAGTTTTTTTGGCAAGGTTTTTCAGAAGCGGTTTGCCAATGCTTCCTTTTTGGGGTCAAGGGACAGTGACTGGCCCAAGGTCACCCAGTTGGTTTGGTGCTTAAAGGCGGAACTAGAATTCACCAGCTCCTGGAGATTGGCCCAAAGTCACCTGGTGGCCTTTCATGTCTAAGGTTGGACTACAACTCACTGTCTCCTGGTGATTGGCCCGAAGTCACCCAAATGGCTTGCATGCCTAAGGCGGGACTAGAATTCTCCATTGCCTGGTGATTGGTTCAAAGTCACCCAACTGGCTTTCATACCTAACGCAGGATTAGAACTCACCATCTAGCAGTGATTGGCCCAAAGTCAGTTTTCATGCTTAAGGCGAGACTAAAACTCCAGTATACCAGTTTTTAGCCTGAGACCTTATCCTTATTCTTAAAATAAAGAAAAATAAATGAAATTCAGAATTTTGAAGATTTAATAATTGGGCAGTTGTAGAACTGGCTTGTAATAATTATAGGTAATGTACAAAGTTGAGGTTGTAACTAATTTACAGGGAGTCCTCGACTTACAACAGTTCATTTAGTGACCGTTCAAAGTTACAACGGCACTGGAAAAAGTGAGTTATGACCATTTTTTACACTTATGACCACTGCAGCATCCCCGTGGTCACGTGATCAAAATTCAGACGCTTGGCAACTGGCTCGTACTTATGACGGCTGCCATATTCCCGGGGTCATGTGATCACTTTTTGCGACCTTCTGACAAGCAAGTCAATGGGGAAGCCAGATTCACTTAACAACCGTGTCCCTAACTTAACACTTGAAGCGATTCACTTAACGACTGTAGCGAGAAAGGTCGTAAAATGGGGCAAGATTCACTTAACAAACGTCTCTCTTAAACAACAGAAATTGGTCGTATGTTGAGGATTACCTGTTCTGTCTGGGAAAGAGTTGGAATCAACACTTTTTTTCTTTTCTCTTTTTTTTTTAAAGAACTCTGTATTTTCTCCTCTTTTTTTCTTAATCTTTGTTTTCATTATATTTTAATAATAATAATAAGGCTCAATGAAACACATGATTAAAAAAAAGCAGCAGGACTGGCCCTGAGCACAAATGGGTCGATTACGTGCTATCAAGTGACTCTTACTGACTAGGTAAGATTATAGAGAATTGCAGAGATAAATTGGAGGAGAGAGAAGGCAAGAACTGTTAGCAGAACTATTAAGAGATAATAAAGGAGAAAGTAAACAACAGCTCAGCCCCAAAGGAGGGTGTGTGAGAAATAACCACACCTTCAATCTGGCTTTTTCAGAAGGACAGTATTTGATCAGCAGGAGAAGGCACGGCCTGCCAAATTGCTGGGGGGGAAATCCCTAAGTGCTTTGTGAGGGGTATAAATTAAAGTAATAAAGTAATAATAAATAAATCCTGTGCAACCCATTTGATGCTGGGCGTGGAGCCCTTTTGCAGAAGAATCGCTGACCCACAGCTTGACAGAAAAGCTGAACAACCACCCCAGAAAAAAAACTAGCACGGCGCATCCACAAACATCAACTAGCAGTCACAAGTCACGATGAAAAAACTCCTTTAATTTCATAACGTACAGGCAGACTCGATCAGGGTTTCAACTGGGAAACCGTAGACCTACGAAGAACGGCTGCGGGACTTGGGTTTGGCTAGTCTAAAGAAAAGAAGAAACAGGGGAGACACGATAGCAGTCTTCCAGTATCTGAGGGCCTGCCACAAAGAAGAGGGGGTCACGTTATTCTCCAAAGCACCAGAGGGCAGGAGGAGAAACAATGGTTGGAAAGTGATCAAGGAGAGAAGCAACCTGGAAGTAAGGAGAAACTTCCTGACAGTGAAGACAATTAACCAGTGGAACCGCTTGCCTCCAGAAATCGTGGGCGCTCCATCACTGGAGGTTTTTAAGAAGAGGCCAGACAATCACTTGTCTGAGATGGTATAGGTTCTCCTGCTTGAGCAGGGGGCTGGACTAGAAGACCTCCAAGGTCCCTTCCAGCTCTATTCTATTCCATTCCATTCCATTCCATATTTTCTTTTCTATTCTATTTTTCTATTCTATTCTATTCTATTCTATTCTATTCTATTCTATTCTATTCTATTCTATTCTATTCTATTCCATATTTCCTATTCTATTCTATTCTATTCTATTCTATTCTATTCTATTCTATTCTATTCTATTCTATTTCTATTCTATTCCAATTTATTCCATTCCATATTTTCTATTCTATCCTATCCTACTCTACTCCAAAGTAATTCGCCCAAATACTAGAAAAATCATAGAAGCTTGGCATTCAGACAAATGAGCCATCAACAGACACACAGAGATAAAGCACATTTATACAACATTCAAAAGAGACGATGAAAAAACGAAGAAGGAAACAAAAAGACCATCACATATCACCTCCGGCAGCCTATACCCAGATAAGCATGGATTAAGACAAGACAAACAACCAAGCAGAAAAGTGTATCCTAATCAAGGAGAAAAACTACGTTCCACCAACACAGCGCTACAAGCTGATCTATAAAAACAGGGAGCCAACTCCGCACTCACCAGCCCTGATGATATTACGTAGCTGGATAGTGAAATGTCTGCAAATATCTTACACAAGAATCCGTGACCCGTAGTTTGACACGAAAGGATAGATGAAAAACTCTCCAAGAGGAAGGCAATTCCAAACTGCAAATCCTTCCCTAATCCAAATTCAGCCGCGCACAAAAACAGGAGTCTGAACATCGCTTTTGAACAAGAGACCTCAAAGAACATCTGAACTGAAGACACCATACAGGGAGTCCTCGACTTACGACGACCGCTGAGCCAAAATTTTCTGTTGTTTAGTGACACATATGATAAGGGAGTTTTGCCCCATTTTGCGACCTTCCTTGCCAGAGTTGTTAAGTGAATCACTGCAATGGTTAAGTTAGTAAGCCAGTTGTTAAGTGAATCTGGCTTCCCCACTGACTTTGGTCGCAAAAGGGGATCCTGTGACAGTGGGACACAGCAACGGTCATAACTATGAACAAGTGGCCAAGTATCTGAATTTTGATCACGTGACCCTGGGGATGCCGACACAGTCCTAGATGTGAAAAATGGTTCTAAGTCACATTTTTCGATACCGTAACTTTGAACTGTCACTAAAGGAACTGATGTAAGTCGAGGACTTCCTGCATTGTAATCTACCTAGAATAGATGGGGATCACAAGCAAACAGATTCCCCAGAGGTCCTCTCCTGCCTGGGCCCCCTACCTCTTCTTTCTCCTATATACATTTCTGATGTCTTTCAGAAAACTCTTTGATTACTTATTAAGGGGTTCCCAGCCCCTTCCCCAACAGCCGGGCAGAATAATCCCCCCGCTACCTTTGTAAGCGAGATTGCAGAAAATCCACGCGATCTTCTCTCAAACTCCCACCGAAAAGTTCTCCACCTTCTGGGACCAGTAGATCAACCGCTGCTACCTTGTAGGGGACAGAAGGTGAGACGTTTCTATGAAATCTCTCTCTGTGTGAAGGTACACCAGCACCAGCCCTCCAGCTAGTCTCCAGAGGCATTCCTGAACGGTTAAAGGTAAAGGTAAAAGGTTCTCCTGCTTGAGCAGGGGGCTGGACTAGAAGACCTCCAAGGTCCCTTCCAGCTCTATTCTATTCTATTCTATTCTATTCTATTCTATTCTATTCTATTCTATTCTATTCTATTCTATTCTATTCTATTCTATTCTATTCTATTCTATTCCATTCCATTCCATTCCATTCCATTCCATTCCATTCCATTCTAATTTCTTATTCTATTCTATTCTATATTCTATCCTATATTCTATTCTATTCCTATTTCTTATTCTATTCTCTCCGCTATATTCTCTATATAACTATTCTATAATTCTATTCTATTCTATAATTCTATTCTTATTTCTTATTCTATTCTATATTTATCCTATATTCTATTCTATTCTATTCCTATTTCTTATTCTATTCTATTCTATTTCTTATTCTATTCTATTCTACTCTATTCTATATTTTACTTCAACTCCCAGAATTCCTGAGCCATCGTGGGGGAACTATGGCCCCTTCATGACTCGTGGACTTCAACTCCCAGAATTCCTCAGCCACCCACGCTGAGGGGAAAGGGAGAGGTTTCCAAGCTGAGCCATAGTGGCTCAGGAATTCTGGGAGTTGAAGTCCACGAGTCATGAAGGGGCCAAGGTTGCCTACCCCTGGTCTACCTGATAAGGCTGACACCCTTACTGTCAATCAACTTTTTCTCTTTCCTTCCATCTAACCTAGCATTAAGCAGCCCCCAAATGCAATCTAAGCATCTGTCAGCAGAAACCAATTTCATCTCCTAGAAGACAATTTATTTCATTCCAAAAAGCTTAAAAGGGTAAAGCAAGAAACCAAGAGGACATGTCTGCCTTGATCAAAGCATTTTAATTAATAAGTTCTTACAGTCCTACAAGGTCCATCTTCGTTGTCTCGCATGTAGAACGGCTTCAGATCATAGGGATAGTTGTACACAAAAACGGGAATGTCGCCACAGTGTCGCACCAGGTACTTCTCGTGTTCACTCTGGAGATCCTGCCCCCACTAAGAAAAGAGGGGTTTTTTTTTTTAAAAAAAAGCAAGTTGTAAAATGAACAAACCCTAATAATCTCAAGTCGCTTTAGGTTTGCAAACTACTTGAAAGCATGGTGAAGCTGGCTGAGGAATTCTGGGAGTTGAAGTCCACACAGTGTAAAATTGCTAAGATTGAGAAACATTGCTCTAAAATAGACAGAACAGAGTTGGAAGGGACCTAGAGAGGTCTTCTAGTCCGACCCCCTGCTCGGGCAAGTGACTCTATACCATTTCAGACAAATGGTTGTCCAGTCTCTTCTTAAAAATCTCCAATGTTGGAGCACCCACAACTTCTGGAGGCAGGTTGTTCCACTGGTTAATTGTTCTGTCTGTCAGGAAAGTTCTCCTTAGTTCTAGGTTTGATCTCTCCTTGATTAGTTTCTATCCACTGCTTCTTATTCTGTCTTCAGGTGCTTTGGAGAAGAGGTTGACCCTCCTTCTTCTTTGTGGCAGCCCCTCAAATATTGTAAGACTGCTATCATATCACCTCTCATCCTTCTCTTCATTAAACTAGACATACCCAATTCCTGCAATCGTTCTTCGTATGTTTTAGCCTTCAGTCCAATCATCTTTGTTGCTCTTCTCTGCACTCTTTCTAGAGTCTCAACGTCTTTTTTACATCGTGGTGACAAAAACTAGATGCCGTATTCCAAGTCTGGCCTTACCAAGGCCTTGTAAAGTGGTATCAACACTTCATGTGATCTTGATTCTATCCCTCTGTTAATGCAGCCTAGCACTGTGTTGGCTTTTTTGGCCAATCTACTATGAAACAGGCTCTGTATTTATATTTTGGAAACTGCTAAAGAGGTTTGGGGGAGCCTTTCCTGATTTTAGGAGTCTATCTTTAATGTTCATTCTTACTGTTGAACTTGCGGTTTCGTATTCGTTTACTGCTGTAATGGTGTTTACTTCTACAGTTTTGGCTTATCACGAATGTTTTAAATTGTTCTGCCATATACTGCGTAAGATGTGGAATGTTGTTTTATTTTGTTCCAGCAGGGTAGAAATGTTTAAATAAATAAATATGGTTGCGTAATTACAATGACAGTAAAACGGGAAGCAACAGAAAAATACAGAGAGGTCCAATTCAGAAGGAGAACATCACCAAGGGAATGCACAGCTTTGTAAACTTTGTATATTAGGGTGAAAGAGAATGTAAATGTTCCAATATCTCAGGGGTTGCCCCAAAGAAGAGGGAGTCAAGCTATTCTCCAAAGCACCAGAAGGCAGGACAAGAAGCAACGGATGGAAAATAATCAAGGAGAGAAACAACCTAGAACTAAGGAGAAATTTCCTGACAGTGAGAACAATTAACCAGTGGAACTGCTTGCCTCCAGAAGTTGTGGGTATTCCAATACTCAAGGTTTTTAAGAAGAGATTGGACAACCATTTGTCTCAAATGGTATAAGGTTTCCTGCCTGAACAGGGGGTTGGACTAGATACTTGTAGGTCCCTTGTAACTCTGTTGTCCTGTCCTGTCCTGTCCTGTCCTGTCCTATCCTATCCGGGGACTCTAATGCACAACAGTGAAAGTTGGATTTGGAGTGATCACTGTGATGCGGTATAATCTACATAAATGGGTCAGCAATGCTACGACCGTTGTAGTGTCCTCGTGGTCACGTGATCAAAATTCAGACGCTTGGCCACTGACTCATATTTATGACGGTCGCCAAGTGTTCCCAGGGTCACACGATCCCCTTTTGCAACCTTCGGACAAGCAAAATCAACAGGGGAAGCCAGATTCACTTAACAACCAGGTTACCAATTTAACAAACTGCAGTGATCCACTTCACCAACGTGGCAAGAAAAGTCATAAAAGGGGGGGCAGAACTCACTTAACAAATGTCTCAGCAATGTTAAATTTTGGGCTTGACTGTGGCCCCCTAAGGTGAGGGCTACCTGTACGACTTTTCATTACACTGAGAAGCAACTCTACAAACGCTCTAGGAGGTTTCTATCAACCTTCTAAATACCTGAGTTTTACCTAACCTTCCCCCCCACCACAACCAATAAACATCTCCCCCAAATACTCACGGCTGGTTTGTAAGTGAATTCTTGTTGAGACCTCTCCAAAATTTCAATGGCTTCAGTATAGGACATTCTTCAAAAAAAACCCAAAACAAAACGTAAGTATAGGCCAGTGGTGGCGAACCTATGGCACATGTGCCAGAGGCGGCACTCAGAGCCCTCTCTGTTGGCACACATGCCACCGCCGCCAGCAGCAGGTGCATCAGGCCGCCACTGCCGCCCGGAGCAGGAGCCCTGCCCAGCACAAAGGAGGCAAAGCGGCCGGCTAGCAAGCTCGAGTAGAGGTGGTAGAGCAGAGGGCACCAACCATTGTCGATTGGTGGACTGGAAGAAAAGGGAGGGGGAAGCATTTTACATGCATGCATGCATGCAAGGGGCTGCGAGCACTCACGTGCTGCAAATGGGGCGGGGCTAGTGCCTGCGTGATACCCACTAGCCCTGCCCTGTTCTTGCATGATGCAGCGCCTTGTATCTGCACCCCATGGCACGGCTGTTTTTGCGCCTTGCAGCACAGTGGCCCGTTTTTGCGCCCCCGGTTTTTGCGTGCCAGAGGCGGCACTCAAGAGGCACCTCCCTGCCCCCCTATGAGGACACCACAATGCTGATGCGGCCCTGGCACTTGCGATAAATAAGTGGGTTTGGGGTTACAGTTTGGGCACTCGGTCTCTAAAAGGTTCGCCATCACTGGTATAGGCAATTATTTGCTAGAAGGTACATATGTTCAGTAGTGGCCAAAATTGTGGAAACCTTTTGGGAAAAAGTGTATTTTTGAGGTTTGATGGCTAATATCACCCCTTTTTTTCTGGAGTAGTACCATAAAATTATATATCAATGGAAAGATAATTTAATCGAGAATGTAATGCAACATAGTTTGTTCAATTATCTGTACTATATTCTATGAAAAATTATAGCCAAATAACCAGAAAAAGGAAGCACAACTTGCTTAGGTTGATCTCAGGTAGCTTTCCTTCATCCGATTGTAGCCAATGAGCATGAGTGTTTAGAGAGCCAATCGGGTGTCATCTTGTTTTGGCCATGAGCCAATCAGCTCACAGTAGGATCCAGTTATTGATGTCATGTATTGAAGCTGAGAGGAGGACATTTGTCAGTGTGTTATGTGATCGCTATCCAGTCGGTTGGGGTTTTTTTTGTGTTTTTTCATTTAGTGAGCTTGTAAAACGTAATAAAATTAAAGTCATGGTGCAAAGAGTTGACTGGTCGCCCAGAAAGCGATGTAAAATAGTATTATTAAGTGAACAAGGCTACAGTTATAAAGACATTAGAAGAAAAATGGGTGGAAACTTAACCAAAGGTGGCATTTTTACTGTACACTTTTCCCAAAAGGTTTCCACAATTTTGGCCACTACTGTATGTTTATGAATTAAGCAGCAACAGCAACAAACCCCTTTTTCTTTTCAATATACTTACATTAAAAAACGGTTCTTCAACATTTTTTCTAATTTGGCCTAATGAGGATAGGGAACAGAAGGGAAAGGAAAAATTAAAATTGACAGTGTCAGAAACAGATAAGGTTTTGAGAAAAAAAAGAAGTTTTTCAGAAGTCATTGGGCTGCTCAAAGGCATCAAACTGAAAGAAAACAATTTCTGTTTCAGGAGAAACTAAGGAATTTGAGGGGGAAAAAAACTTGAGAAAAATCTGAGAAAACCTTGGAGAAATCCAAAGAGTCAAAGGAAAGCAAATTTTGCCTCAAGATAAGCCCACCTGAAGTGTTTTAAATGTGGTTTGAATTAATAAAGTACCGTATGTGGCACTGTGCCCATACCAGGGGTAGGCAACCTTGGCTCTTTTATGACTCGTGGACTTCAACTCCCAGAATTCCTGAGCCATCATGCGGAAACTATGGCCCCTTCATGACTTGTGGACTTCAACTCCCAGAATTCCTCAGCCAGCATGGGGGAATTATGGCCCCTTCATGACTTGTGGACTTCAACTTCCAGAATTCCTCAGCCAGCATGGGGGAATTATGGCCCTTTCATGACTTGTGGACTTGAACTCCCAGAATTCCTGAGCCAGCATGGGGGAACTATGGCCCCTTCATGACTTGTGGACTGGAACTCCCAGAATTCCTGAGCCAGCATGGGGGAACTAGGGCCCCTTCATGATTTGTAGACTTCAACTCCCAGAATTCTTCAGCCAGCATCAGGGAACTATGGCCCCTTCATGACTTGTGGACTTCAACTCCCAGAATTCCCCAGCCAGCATGGCTCAGCTTGGAAACCTCTCCCTTTCCCCTCAGCATGGCTGGCTCAGGAATTCTGGGAGTTGAAGTCCATGAGTCATAAAAGAGCCAAGGTTGTCTACCCCTGGCCTAAACCATTTCAAACAAGGGAAAGCATTCTTGCATTTTTACAGAAACCATAAAAATCTACACACAAAGCTTGTCTAGTTCAGTGTTCGGGGCAGCCAATTATATGATCCTAGGAACAGGCTCACTCACAGAAAATGAAACAAAATAATGATGTCCCAGTATAATCAATGACAAATTGGATCCTTAGAAATAACAGCCATTAGTAGCTTTATTTTTCTCCACGTACTCAGCTTTACAACCATTTGTTTCGCGAGACTTATGACTGGTCCTTGCAAGTACAGGCAGGCCTCGGCTTACAACAGTTCGTTTAGTGACCGTTCAAAGTGGAAAAATGTGCCTTATGACCTTTTTCACAGTTACAACTGTTTTTCACGGTCCTGTGTAAAGAATGCAGAGTTCACTTAACAATAATAATAAAGTTGGAAGAGACCTTGGAGGTCATCTAGTCCAACCCCCTGCTCAGGCAGGAAACCCTATACCATTTCAGACAAATGGCTGTCCAGTCTCTTCTTAAAAACTTCCAGTGTTGGAGCATTCACCGCTTCTGGAGGCAGGTTGTTCCACTGGATAATTGTTCTGACTATCAGGAAATTTCTTCTTAGTTCTAGGTTGCTTCTCTCCTTGATTAGTTTCCATCCGTCACTTCTTGTCCTGCCTTCAGGCGCTTTGGAGAATAGCTTGACTCCCTCTTCTTTGGGGCAGCCCCTGAGATACTGGAAGACTGCTATCCTGTCCCCCCTCATCCTTCTCTTCGTTAAACTGGACATACCCAATTCCAGCAACCGTTCCTTATATGTTTTAGCCTCCATTTCTCTAATCATCTTTGTTGTTCTTCTCTGCACTCTTTCTAGAGTCTCAACATCTTTTTTACATCGTGGTGACCAAAACTGGATGCAGCATTCCAAGTGTGGCCTTACCAAGGCCTCGTAAAGTGGTATTAACACTTCATGTGATCTTGATTCTATCCCTCTGTTAATGCAGCCTAATGATCAGGGCATTCGCTTAGTAACCTCCACAAAGGACTGTAAAATCAGGCCTAGTTATGTGGTAGCTTGCTTAACAACCACCATGACACAGGACCATAATTCTGGGCTCAATTATGGCCCTAATTCGAGGACCACAATTGAGGTCAGAATTTATGTTGCTAAGTGAGACATTTGTTAAGTGAGTTTTGCCCCATTTTATGTCTTTTCTTTGCCATATTTGTTAAGTGAACCGCTGAAGTTGTTAAGTTAGTAACGCGGTTGTTAAGTGAATCTGGCTTCCCCATTGACTTTGCTTGTCAGAAGATCGCAAAAGGGGATCACATGACCCCGGGACACTGCAACCGTCGTAACCGTGAACCAATTGCCCAGCATCTGGATGTAAATCATGTGATCATGGGGATGCTGCAATGGTCATTAGTGTGAAAAATGGTCATCAATCGCTTTTTTCAACAGTCACTAAATGAACTGTTGTAAGTTGAGGACTACCTGTATTTGCATCGCCCCGCCCCTTTATTGGCCTGGTTCAGCCAAGGTCCCACTGCTTGGTATCTTCATTTGATGCCCTCTGAAGGCATCAAGTCCCTGAATCAAAAGAGCCATAGCCCTGAAT